CAAACTTAGCCCACTGGATACACTATCATTAATAAAATACTACAGAAATATTAAGGAAAAAGTCATTTAAGATCAAGACCACATCTCTAGGGTGTATATTACAGAGGGTGTAATTAAAATGATTTAACATTAGCAAAGGTTGTTGTAAAAAAAAAAAACGATGAAAAATAATAAACTTAGAGGATTCTCAGTTAGGTAAGAGCAAAATGTAGTAAAAAAAAAAGTAACACAAATAACACATAAATTATTTAATTACAAAACAATACTTAAAGCAGTGTTTCTCAATTAATTGAAAGTAATATATATATTTATTTATTTATTTATTTTGCTGAAAAAAAGGTGATCTAAAGGCAAATATGTGAACCAAGAACGTAGTGTTCTTAAAGTGGTTCTCGGGTACATTTGCTATTTTTCACCTATGAAACGATTTTCTTAGTTGTCAAAAAAAAAGCAAAACATTTCATGTGTGCTGGAGCTAAAGAACTTTAAAGTTTAATTTCCTTTCAGGGTTTACCTGGAGCTGTGGGACCTGTTGGTTATCCGGGGCCTCGTGGAGTCAAAGTAAGATGTATTTTTTAACAAAAATTGACAAGATGGCTGAGTGAATGGTCAACATCTGCAGGGGGCTGGCGAACAAAAAAGTGTGAGTGACCTTGTAGAGACCTGTTTGTGTCCTCTGTGTATGAGTCAGGAATTTTATTTTTCGCTGTTTTGCTTCCACCTCAAGCCTCTTTTGTTAAATTGTTTTTTTTGTTTGTTTTTTTTTGCCTCAGCAACATTTCAAGGGCAGCCTGACCTTATCAGGCGTTTGTATACAGGTAGAACTATATATATGCAAGGAGAAAAATAAGTACACAGTAATATATTTTTAAGGTGTAGGCTGAAAGTTGTTTTTAGAAACAAAGGCGAGAAGTGTTTTTTTTTTTTTTTTTTGCCTGTCAATGGTTCTTTACTGAACTCCTTCATCCTTTGTGTTTTCCACAGGGAGCAGACGGAGTTAGAGGTTTGAAGGGAAGCAAAGGAGAGAAGGTGAGCTCTTGAAGGAAATGTCATTTAAGGCTCTGGCTATAGTTAAATTACAGGCGATATATATATATATACATATACATATATATACATATATATATATAAACACACACACCGTATATGAGTAAATATATAATACAATATAATCCATATATGAATATATGTTTATACGACATTAAAATATTCTAAATGCAGTGGAACCTCGGTTTTTTCGAACTTAAGTTTTTCCTGAAGGCCGTTCGTGTACCGAAAAGTTCGAAAAAACTTAAATAGTTTTCCCCATAGGAATCAATGTAAAATAGATTAATCCGTTCCTGGACCCCAGATGATTGCTTTTTCAAACTTTTTCAATAGTATTATGTGTACATGTTCACACACGAAACCAAGGAAAATAATTAGATCTGACAAAAAAGATAAAACACAACTGAATAAAGAATAAAGCTAGGAATAGGAAAGGTAATGTCATTCATCCTAATCGGAGCTGAGGAGTCGTAATTGCGCAATGTTAGCGTCTCGTTAATTAATAATTAATTAATGTCTTCAAAATACTGTCGCCAGCCAACTGCTTTTCAGCATTAGGCAAAACATGTTTTATATAAACACTTGTGTATTAAGTAACTGACTCAGAGCTAGGAAGTTTTCTTTTCTTGTTAAACATGAACGCGCCATTAGCTGCAGTGAACAAACATGTCACAAATAAATGTCCCTTATGTAGGGACAGTGGCATCTTTAGCGCCATCTGTACGCATGGTTGTGCGTTAGCAAAGCAGGAGCTTGGATTTGAATTAAAAAAAAAAAACGCAAGTCTGCCATAACTCAGAAAACAACAATTAGCCGTTAGCATACCTAGAATAAGGTTGTTTGGTTAAAGCTGATTTAAATAGTTACGTTAGTCCAAAACAGTAAAATCTTTTAAAGGTGACACAAAGATGAACTTAAATGTACGTAAACGCTATATGAGAAATAGAATATCCGAAGACTGGGAGCAGGTGGAACCAAGAGTCTGTTACAGAGAGAAAGAAAAGATGAGCTGAATAAAAATGTGCTTCGTGACGGGTCCTGAAAAACCAATGTACTAATGAGACCTCACCTGGCGTAAGGGAGAAGACGGCTTTCCTGGGTCCAAAGGCGACATGGGCCTGAAGGGAGACAGAGTGAGTGTGGCCCACTTTAACCTCAGTATTATTCTGTCATCGTTTTCTCCCTTTCACTGTGAAAGAAAAAAAAAATCATTAATAATTCTATTCTACTCTGCTCTGGTGCATTTCATTGACTTCAGGGTGAAAATGGCGTTTTAGGGCCTCGCGGAGAGGACGGGCTAGAGGGGCTAAAGGGCCATGCAGGACCCATGGGAGAATCGGGAGCCCCTGGCATAGCTGGAGAGAAGGTACATTTAACAATGCATTTAAATTTACAAGTAGGAGGTAAGGGCGGCAAAGGATCATAGAATGATTTTTTATTGGTGACTTCAAGGCAACATTAACATTGTTTAAGCTTTCATGTTACATCTTTCAACAACTCAGTTGAACCACTCTCGGTTCACTGACATCTTTCAACAACTCAGTTGAACCACTCAGCTTCTCAGTTCACCGATATTTTAATGGGAAAAGTTTCCACTTTTTCATCTTCTGTCACACAATGTAGGTTTTAAAAAAATAAAGTTCTTAAAAACAAAGACACAGCCTCACATCCATCTATCTATCTATCTGTCTATCTATCTGTCTATCTATCCATCTATCTATCCTTCCACCCATCCATCCTTCTATACATCCATCTATCTATCTAATCATCCATCTATCCATCCATCCATCTATCCATCCATCCATCCATCTATCCATCATCCATCTATCCATCCATCTATCCATCCATCCATCTATCCATCCATCCATCTATCCATCCATCCATCTATCCATCCATCCATCTATCCATCCATCCATCTATCCATCCATCCATCTATCCATCCATCCATCTATCCATCCATCCATCTATCCATCCATCCATCTATCCATCCATCCATCTATCCATCCATCCATCTATCCATCTACCATCTATCTATGTATCCATCTATCTATCTATCCATCTATCTATCTATCATCTACCCATCTACCATCTATCTATCTATGTATCCATCATCCATCCATCTATCTATCTATCTATCTATCTATCTATCTATCTATCTATCTATCTATCTATCTATCTATGTATCCATCCATCCATCCATCCATCCATCCATCTATCTATCCATCTATTTATCCACCCATCCATCCATCATCCAGCCATCTATCCGTCTATCCATCTATCCTTCCACCCATTCATCCTCCCATCCATCCATCTATCTATCTATTCATCCATCCACCCGCATTAGTGTATGTTTTCAGGTTTTACCATTATAACCCTAATTTCCCTCTTCCTGTTTAGTTCTGCTGCTCAGCCTTTCTGTTTCATTGCAGGGCAAACTTGGCGTACCAGGAGTGCAAGGATACCCAGGAAGACAAGGTCCTAAGGTGATATAATTTTTGACGAGCTTTTACGTCGGACACATTTCCCACCACCAGCAGAACTGTGTCTTTGACCGGGTTGTTTCTGTCTGATTAAAATCAAAGGGTGATGAATGAGTGATTTTTAATAATCATTTTGACTCATTTATAGATCATTAGTGACAGAGAGCCATAACATCTTAATGGTGTGTTTGATGCCGTGTTAGGCTTGTTGATTAGACTTGCCTATAGATCATTAGTGACAGTATTATACTATGACACTAGTTTATTATACATAGACGCTGGTCTGGTGAATGGGAAGCTCAGACTGGTTAACCTCTGTGTGTTTTTCGTCTCAGGGATCACTGGGCTTTGTCGGGATGGCAGGGGGCTCGGGAGAGAAAGGACGAAGGGTGACGACACTAATATTTTGAATTCAACTCACGTCTTCTGTTAACGTGTTTACGCGGTGTTGCTAGGTGATGACAATTGATCTCTTCGATGCAGGGTCCAGCCGGTCAGCCAGGGTCAGAGGGTCAAAGAGGTCCAAACGTAAGTACTGCTTCAGTATTGGTTCCAGGGATGTCAAACCCACTTTCATTATGATTGCACATGACTAACAGGTATGAGGTATTTGACGAAATTGTCACATGACTTCCCCCCCCCGCAATCCCCACAGCTACTGATTTAATCATCAGCTTTATTTTGATTTACTGTTTTTCTAATGAAAATTGGCATTTACAGCATGAACAGTGCTAGATTGTCAATGTTGTTATAATGAGAAATAAATACCTGCACACAACCCAGCATGCGGCATAAAAAAAAATTTGAGACAAAGTTTGGTTGCAGTAAAGACTGGAGCGCATGAAAACATACACTAAGTGGGCCATTTAAAATGACCTGATTGGCCGAGTCCAGCCTACGGGCCATGAGTTTGACATGGTATGGTCTACAAGTGTGTATTTTAAAACAAGGATGAAACCAAGCGAGCATCAGTGCTTTGGTAAATAGCTCTAAGTCTTTGTTTAGTCCATAGCCTGACGTGTCATTAGGTAGTTTGAAAAAAAAAAGAAAGTAATTTGTAACAAGCGTTGTTGTTTTGATTGCTGCTGCTTCAAGTCTTCC